TTTGTCAAGCCGGGCCTTAAAAACCTCCAAGGATGGAGACATGCAAGCTTCTGCAAACAAAGAACTTGGTGACTGCAGTCAGGTTCTAAAACATGGAGGCATCCAAAATAAAGGATTTTAAAAAAATGTAATTTTTCTGGGCCTCAGCTTTGTGCTCCTGCAGCTACCTCCTCTCTCTTGCCTACGTATTCAATTTTCAAAATGTCCTGAGATCCTCAAAGGAAGGGAGCTATTGAAAGGTAACGTGCTATTACCGTGAGAGGAATCGGAGGAGTTGGGTGGTCAGTAAAGATGACAACTCACCTAAGAGCTGATTAGCTGATGAAGTGGTGAGGTTGAACTGCTGCTCTAGGTATTTCCCCAGGAAGGCAGCAAAGCCAGCGACCACAGCAATCTCCATGCAGGCAGCCAGGACGATGCAGGTGAAGACAGGGTTGGAAAGTAAGTGCTTTGTCACCTTGGGGATCACTACAATGCAGGAAAAAAATAAGAAAAGATTTTCAGGAAGCTTCTCCCTGTGTTTCCTTCGAGGTACAAAGGACTGCTCAGCTCTCAGGGGACAAACACAGAAGTCCAAGACAAATTCCCCACCTTACACAGAGAAAGGCCTTCCAGAACTAAGCAACCCAAAAGCAGAAAGCCCAGGCTGGTCTCATCTATGCCTAACATCAAAGATCCCCATCCAGCACTGAATGCTTCTCCAAGACACAGGCTCTAGCTCAATAAAGGCCACTTACAAAAAACCAGCCTCATATAGCACTTCCCTAATTTCTTGCTGAATCTCAGTCTTCCTTATTAAGTCCAGGATGGTGAAACTTCTGTCCTGATTTGGGATTGCTTAAGCACACTGAAAAGACTCCAGGGGTGAATTGTCTTGTTCACAAACCCACCAGAATCTGTTTAAGCCTTGCTCTCTCTGCTGGGACAGCCTGCTAGTGCCTGCTGGGGTGCTGGGTTTATCGAGACAGGCATGCTTCCCATTTCCTAGAGCATGCAAGAACACGAGTGTGGAACGGAGCATCCAGTCAGTAGGTTGGCAGGACCTGGTGGGGGGACATGGGTGCCTTTGTTGCATTTTGACTTGCATTCAGAAAAAAAAGGAAATTATTTTGCTTTTTCCTGCTGGACTTTGCAAAGATCTCACCATTTGGCATGGGTGACTGGTGCCTCTGGAGTCTGGGCAAGCACCCACAGAAACTACCGGAGGTGGGGACGGAGCTGGCAAGCACCCACAGAAGCTGCTGGTGGTGTCAACGGTGGGCATGGCCCTGCAGTGGGGGCATGTGTCCCCTCCGTGCCGCCCCTACCAGTTGCCTATGCTGTTTGGGGACTATTCTGATATTTGGGATAACAGTTTGCCTGAAGAAAAGTGCTATGGGCACAAAGTACATTCCAAGTCCTAACCATTTCACTGTCCCAACATGGGCACAGAGTCTGAAAGATGCAAGGATCAGACAGAGGTAGCTTCTGAGAAGCCAGAAAGGGAGCTCTCAATGCCATTTTTTATCTAGCTATGATACTGTTAGCAGTGTTGTCAGCTCTCGCAATTTTATCACAAGTCTTCTGATACTTGGTGTCTTCCTGAAAGGCCTAGCTCCTGGATACATACGATTCTCAGAGAATCTCAGCATTTAGGTAAGATTTTTAGCTGCTGTGTTTGTAGAGCTTGGAAATATGATGCCCTCATAACACAAGGCCATAACAACCAGACGAGAAAAAGAGAAAGAAACCAATATTTGTTTGTTTGTTTTCTTTTAACTCTCATTATTTTGGGGACCAGATATATGGTGTTTCGAAGTGTGTAGTTGGCTATACTGTGTCTGAGCCAAAGTCTTTTTGCTTCTTTCAATTTTTTTTCGTGGGGAAAAAAATTGTCAAGAAGGCAATCTATGTCCCAGTGCTTTCTTCTGCCAGCTTTCCTTTTCTGTGCTTCCATCTGTCTACTTCTGATGGTACCCTGTGCACTTCCGAACATAACCTGGGGTGTCCCTCATCAGTCGTATACCTTCAGCTGCTCATTTTTCTTCAGTCATAAGCATATACAGATTGTAGCTGTCCTTGCATTTCCTCGGACCCCAGAGAAATGTTGTATTTTCTCTCTTTCTCTCTCTCGCATGCTCTCAACTGTCCAGGTGCTCTGCTGCGTGCATGTACAGCTATTTCTGTGCATTCAAGCGCGGAGGGAGCTGCAACCTGAACTACCCTGTTGCTCCCAGGGCTACAGGGCTGCCGAAAAGTTGTGGAACCGAAGTCCACTCCGAAGATAGGGTAGACTGGTTTCTTTAACCCTGGTCAGCAACCAGTCTAGGAGTGAAATCCTGATAGATGTATAAATGGATGATTTCCTTTGCTCTGGCAGCTCCTGTGCCCAAACTGGTTTCAAACGTACTGGCACCTCCCTTTCCTTTGGATTAAGCCAGCAAAGCTGAGAAGGGGACACTGGTGTGCGGGCAGCTCAGTGTCTCTACATACACTGCCAAGGTTTTTGCCCTCCAGTTTTGCTTTATCTTTCAAGCGAGGATTACCTTCAGTGAGCTGATGTCATGCTTGGCATAATGTTATTGTCTCGCAAGACAGACAGATGCCTACTGCCTACTATAAGCAGCCATTGGGCACGGCAACCCTTCACTTATGGGATTCAGCTCCTTTGGACATGCCGAGTTATTTGCGTGCTGCACAGATTGACAGATGGGTGGAACTGGACTCTGCCTTTCCAGACAAGCCCTGCTTAAATTTATTAACTGAACACAAGGTACTACGCTGCCATGCACGTGTCAAAATGCAAAACGTATCCTCAGGGTCTCCTGGCTCCTCCCTCTTTATCTGTTAAGGCTTTGAGATCCCTTCAGACCCGTCTCTCTATTTCCAATAAGACGACGTGAGTTGGGGAGTGATTACCTTACAAAGGGAAATCTGGCTAATGAATCAGATAGTGCATTTTCTACTTCAGCGAGCATTTTAATTATTCCAGAGATAATGCAGCTTCAACGGTATAGAATCCAAACACAGGAGAGAGCCTTGCTTTGTCTTAATACCTGACGACTAATTTCCCCCTGAATTAAATGTGAAAATCATTAAGTTTGAAAATTATCTCTCAGAAGTGTTAGTGGAGCCTCAATGGGCCTTGTTTGCATTTTTAAATATTTTCACCCCTCCCCCGCCCCCCAGCCTGCTCTGCGTATTAGGATCTGGCAGATGACACATTTCTCCAGTTTTTGCCTCTGTTTTCTCATAAGGCCTTTCCTAGTTTTTTCAAAATACTATAGCACTGGCTGCAGCAGGCAAATATGAGGTTCTTTGTTATGCTGCTCGGGCTCTGCCGGGTCTGTTTGAATGGGGGGTATAATTAGCTCGATCCAACTCTCTAGAAAAAGGCGATTCCACAGTTCCCAGTTTCCTCCATCGCCGCTATGCTTTGTGTTGCATAAAGCCTTTGTTTCCTGAAGATTTTGCTGGGCATAATGAATGTGCAAGAGAAGTGGGGTTTTGTTTGTTTGTTTGTTTTTTCCAGAAGAATAGGAAAAATAAAAAGGGCGACTCAATTCAGCTTCTGATTGGTTCCCAGCAGCCACCTGCTACCTCATTCAGCTCTTCGGTGGCCACCTACTGCATCCGTCTTACCAGAACAAGGAGGAAGAAAGCAAAGGTGAACTTGGCAGAGCTCAGCTCAGAAAGTCATATTTAATGCCTCGCTGCCTGCTGTGCCTCTGGAGTTCAATTTGTATAACGTTGGTGGATTCCTTCAGATGCTCCCTGGTGCCAATTTGAAATCAAAGACACAAAAGGCTAATGGGAAATAACAAGAACAAGTTGCCTTTTCAAGTGAGGCAGTAGCATCTTGCAAGGGATTTATTTAGAAACTCTTTGTGGCCTGGACCAAAAGCCTTGGCAAAGACAAAGCCTTCATCTTGTACTGTGTCAGCTTAGAGAGAGTCCAGCGCTTATCTTAGAGAGGCAACCTGGTCTATGGGGAACCGGGAGACCCGGGTTGTCTTCCTAGCTCTGTAAGTGCCCTGCTGTATGCCCTTTGGCAAGCTGCTTCATTTCTCCGTTCCCCTACTGCCCCTTGTCAATTCAGATGTAAGTTCTTTGGAACAGGTATTGTCTCCTACTGTGTCTTTGTACAGTGTCTAGATTAATTGCCCAGCAGCAGGCATTACTATTACGTATAACTAAAGGAGATGTTCAAAGATCAAGGGAGCAAGCATCTGGCAGCCCATTCATCTTGCCAAGGAGGTCCAGATCATTCCTTTTACTTTTCTTCCCTGTACAAAATGAATAAAAGCTCCCACAAAAATGCCTCTCTTCACACTCAACCATGGCCACGAGTTCATCTGCATGCTGCTAGTTAACCTGCATCATTGCTTTGGGGGAGGGGGGGGGAAGAGGAGACTAAAAGTTAGTGGTAGAGTTTTAAATCTTTTAATGGGATGGAGGGATGTGCATGGATGTCTGGATTGGGATGTCAGAGTGATGGCTGCATGGGGACTACTTAGTAAATGTACCACATGCTGGCTAACACATCTTTCTTTGGGCTGACCCACAGCCCTTTGCTACTGCTCCCCGCTAAGGGCCAGATTCAGCAAAACACAAAGTAAAGCACTTTAACAGGTGCTTAAGTCTCAGAGGTGTTGATGAGATTTAAGAACAGGCTGAATGAATAACTGAGCTGTTTGGCTCACAGCTGACATCTGCACTTTGGAGCTATAGGTCTCAGGGTTCAATTCCATCTGACAACTCGGCACAGGGTGGTCGTTACGTGGAAACCAAAGACTGTGTCTCTAGAAATCCCTTGAAAATTCAACAGGCATGACTGATGTGGTGGAGAGAGAATCATGCTGGGATGCTCTGAGTGAGACACTCATTTGACATCCCCACCACTATCACCGCACAGAAACGCTTTGGAGAAGAGAATTTTTCTGCCACTGCATCGTCTATGCCTTCAATTTCCAGAGTAGCAGTAGACAGAGGCTTCCTCCTTACTATGAAACATGTTTAGTCCAACGCTTAACCAAATGTGGGCCTATACAGTGCAATGAGGCTGCTCCAACATGCTGTAATTACAGTGCATCAGAGCAGACTCGATTAATTAAGTCTCCGGTGTCACATATATCAGTGTCCCTGCACTGAAAAATGGTGGCATTTGATGAGCTTTAAAGCGTCCCTGCTGCCATTTTTCAGCATAGGGATGCTGATATAAGTGACACCGGAGGCTGCTGGAGTGCTTTAATCACAGCAATTCTCAGAGCTGCTCTAATTAAAGCACACCCCCAGAGCACATGTATGAACACCCTCACTTTCCCCAGGCCCACCCTCTTCCTAGTCTTAATCTCCCCACCCTCTTCACGTCATTTAATACTCTATGAAATATCCAGAATTAATCACTAGGGGCCTGATTTTTTCAGAGATAGCAACTGTGTAGGTAGCTGCATGTGCCAAATTCTTCCCCGGTCCGGCAGTCACAGGGA